GTGGTGAATTGTGATGATGTGCTGTGGGAAACTTGATGAATAGCACCCCCAAAAAACTCACATGTGAGAATTCTATTTTGTGACTTTTGGGACTTTGTGAATGTAGCTGTTTTAAGCCTACGGAGGCATCACGAAGGCAAATGTTGTTCCCACAGCCAACGTTGGTGAATGTTGTTACTATTTCCCTACGTTCGATCCTCTGGGATAGTATACGGTAGTACTGGAACGTGTTTGTGCGAGCTTTGTAGTATACGGTAATACTGGAACGTGTTTGTCCGAGTTTTGTAGTATACGGTAGTACTGGAACGTGTTTGTGCCAGTTATGTAGTATACTGTAGTACTGGAACGTGTTTGTGCGAGTTTTGTAGTATACAGTAGTACTGGAACGTGATAGTGCGAGTTTTGTAGTATACGGTAGTACTGGGAATGACTTTGTGTAATTTTGTAGTATACAGTAGTACTGGAACGTGTTTGTGCGAGTTTTGTAGTATACGGTAGTCCTGGAACGTGTTTGTGCAAGCTTTGTAGTATACAGTAGTACTGGAACGTGTTTGTGCAAGCTTTGTAGTACACAGTAGTACTGGAACGTGTTTGTGCGAGCTTTGTAGTATACAGTAGTACTGGAACATGTTTGTGCAAGCTTTGTAGTGCACACTAGTACTGGAACGTGCTCGTGCAAGCTGTGTAGTGCACAGTAGTACTGGAACGTGTTTGTGCAAGCTTTGTAGTACACAGTAGTATTGGGAGCGACTTTGTGCAAGCTTTGTAGTACACTAGTACTGGAACGTGTTTGTGCAAGCTTTGTAGTACACAGTAGTACTGGAACGTGCTTGCGCAAGCTTTGTAGTACACAGTAGTACTGGAAGGTGTTTGTGCAAGCTTTGCAGTACACAGTAGTACTGGAACGTGTTTGTGCAAGCTTTGTAGTACACAGTAGTACTGGATCGTGTTTGTGCAAGCTTTGTAGTATACAGTAGTACTGGAACGTGTTTGTGCGAGCTTTGTAGTACACAGTAGTACTGGGGAGTGCTTTGTGCAAGCTTTGTAGTACACAGTGGTATAGAACGTGTTTGTGCAAGCTTTGTAGTATATAATAGTACTGGAACGTGCTCGTGCAAGCTTTGTAGTATACAGTAGTGCTGGAACGTGTTTGTGCAAGCTTTGTAGTGCACAGTAGTACTGGGAAGTGCTTTGTGCATGCTTTGCAGTACACAGTAGTACTGGAACGTGTTTGTGCAAGCTTTGTAGTACACAGTAGTACTGGGAACGTGCTTTGTACAAGCTTTGTAGTATACAGTAATACTGGAACATGTTTGTGCAAGCTTTGTAGTACACAGTAGTACTGGGAAGTGCTTCGTGCAAGCTTTTTAGTACACAGTAGTACTGGGAATGCTTTGTGCAAGCTTTCCATTACACAGTAGTACTGGGAAAGACTTTGTTGGGAATGTTTTGTGCAAGCTTTGTAGTACACAGTAGTACTGGAACGTGTTTGTGCAAGCTTTGCAGAACAAAGTAGTACTGGGAAGGTTTTGTGCAAGCTTTGTAGTACACAGTAGTACTGGGAAGTGCTCTTTGCAAGCTTTGTAGTACACAGTATTAGTGGGAACATTTCGAAGTAGTTTGTGCAAACTTTGTGTAAAGTAAGGAGTGTGGAGTGTAAAGTGTAAAGTGTGGAGAGTGAAGTGGAAAGTGTAGAGTGTGGAGGAGTGCGGAGTGCGGAATTGAAAGTAAAGAGTGTGGAGTGTAAAGTGTGGCGTGTGGAGTGTAAAGTGTGGAGTGTGGAGTGAGGAGTGTGGTGTGTGTCGAGTGTAGAGTGTGGTGGAGTCTGTGGAGTCTGGAGTGTGGAGTGTGGAGTGCAGTGTGTGGAGTGAGGAGTGAGGAGTTTGGAGTGTAAAGTGTGGAGTGAGGAGTCAGGAGTGTAAAGTGTAAACTGTGGAGTGTAAAGTGTAGAGTGTGGAGTGTGGAGTGGAAAGTGTCGAGTGTGGAGTGTGGAGTGCAGAGTGTAAAGTGCAGAGTGTGGAGTGTAAAGTGTGGAGTGTGGAGTGTAAAGTGTAAAGTGTGGAGTGTAGAGTGTAAAGTGTAGACTGTAAAGTGTGTGGAGTGTGGAGTGTAAAGTGTGGAGTGTGGAGTGTAAAGTGTGGAGTGTAAAGTGTGGAGTGTAAAGTGTAGAGTGTAGAGTGCGGAGTGTGGAGTGGAAAGTGCCGAGTGTGGAGTGTAGAGTGTAAAATGTATAGTGTGGAGTGTAAAGTGTTGAGTGTGGAGTCAGGAGTGTAAAGTGTAAAGTGTGGCGTGTAAAGTGTGGAGTGTGGAGTGAGGAGTGTGGTGTGTGTGTGTGTGGAGTGTAGAGAGTGGTGGAGTGTGGAGTGTTGTGGTGTGTTGTGGAGGAGGAGTGTGGAGTGTAAAGTGTGGAGTGTGCAATGGGTAAAGTGTGGAGTGTGCAGTGTAGAGTGTGGAGTGTACAGTGTAGAGTGTGGCGTGTGGAGTGTAAAGTGTGGAGTGAGGAGTGTGAAGTGGAAAGCTTGGAGTGTTAAGTGTAAAGTGTGGAGTGTAGAGTGTAAAGCGTAGAGTGTAGAGTGTGGAGTGTGGAGTGTAAAGTGTGGAGTGTAAAGTGTGGAGTGTAAAGTGCAAAGTGTAAAGTGTGGAGATTAAAGTGTAGAGTGTGTTGTGAGGAGTGTAAAGTGTAAAGGGTGGAGTGTAAAGTGTAGAGTGTGGAGGGTGGAGTGGAAAGTGTCGAGTGTGGAGTGTGGAGTGTAGAGTGTGGAGTGTGCAGTGGGTAAAGTGTGGATTGTGGCAGGTGGTGGTGATCTCGTTGTGCTGGAGATGTTGTTGTGCTGGCGATGTTGTTGTGCTGGTGATTTCGTTGTGCTGGTGATTTCGTTGTGCTAGTGATTTCTTTTGTGCTGGTGATTTTGTTGCGCCGGTCGACTTTGTGCAAGCTTTGTGGTACACAGTAGTACTGGGAAGTAGTGTGTGCAAACTTTGTGTAAGGTGGGGAGTGTGCAGTGTGAAGTGAGGAGTAGGGAGTGTAGAGTCTGTAAAGTGTAGAGTCTGGAGTGTAGAGTGTAAAGTGTCGAGTGTAAAGTGTGGAGTGTGGAGTGTAAAGTGCGGAGTGTGGGGTGTGAAGTGTAAAGTGTAGAGTGTGCAGTGTGGAGTGCGGAGTTGTAAGTAAGGAGTGTGGAGTGTAAAGTGTGGCGTGTGGAGTGTAAAGTGTGGAGTGTGGAGTGCGGTGTGTGTAGAGTGTGGTGTGTGTAAAGTGTAGAGTGTGGTGGAGAGTGGTGGAGTGTGGAGTGTAAAGTGTGGAGTGTGGAGTGTGAAGTGCGCAGTTTCTAAAGTGTGGATTGGGGAGTGTGGAGTGTAAAGTGTCGAGTGTGAAGTGTAAAGCGGTAGTGTAAAGTGTGGAGTGACGAGTGTAAAGTGGAAAGCGTGGAGTGTAAAGTGTGGAGTGTGGAGTGTACAGCGTGGAGTGTGGAGTGTGGAGTAAGGAGTGTGGTGTGTGTAGAGTGTGGAGTGTGGAGTGTAAAGTGTGGAGTGAGGAGTGTAAAGTGTGGAGTGAGGAGTGTAAAGTGCAAAGTGCAAAGTGTAAAGTGTGGAGTGTAAAGTGTGGAGTGTGGAGTGAGGAGTGTAAAGTGTAAAGTGTAAAGTGTAAAGTGTGGAGTGTAAAGTGTGGAGTGTAGAGTGTGGAGTGTGGAGTGTAGAGTGTGGAGTGTGGAGTGTAAAGTGTGGAGTGAGGAGTGTAAAGTGTGGAGTGAGGAGTGTAAAGTGCAAAGTGCAAAGTGTAAAGTGTGGAGTGTAAAGTGTGGAGTGAGGAGTGTAAAGTGTAAAGTGTAAAGTGTGGCGTGTAAAGTGTGGAGTGTGGAGTGTACAGCGTGGAGTGTGGAGTGTGGAGTAAGGAGTGTGGTGTGTGTAGAGTGTAGAGTGTGGTGGAGTGTGGGGTGTTGTGGAGTGTGGAGTGTGGAGTGTAAGGTGTGGAGTGTGCAGTGGGTCAAGTGTGGCGTGTGCAGTGTGCAGTGTAGTGTGTGGAGTGTAGAGTGTAAAGTGTAGAGTGTAAAGTGTAGAGTGTGGAGTGTGGAGTGTAAAGTGTGGAGTGTAAAGTGTGGAGTGAGGAGTGTCAAGTGCAAAGTGTAAAGTGTAAAGTGTGGAGTGTAAAGTGTAGAGTGTGGATTTAGGAGTGTAAAGTGTAGAGTGTGGAGTGTAAAGTGTAGAGTGTGGCGTGTGGGGTGGAAAGTGTCGAGTGTGGCGTGCGGAGTGTAGAGTGTAAAGTGTAGAGTGTGGAGTGTGGAGTGTAAAGTGTAGAGTGAGGAGTGTGGAGTGTGCAGTGGGTAAAGTGTGGACTGTGGCAGGTGGTGGTGATCTCGTTGTGCTGGTGACGTTGTTGTGCTGGTGATTTCGTCGTGCTGGTGATTTCGTTGTGCTAGTGATTTCGTTTCCTTTGGTGATTTTGTTGCGCTGGTGCTGTCCGCTGGTGATTTCATTCTGCTGGTGCGTTCGTTGTGCTAGTGATTTCGTTGCGCTGGTGATGTTGTTTTGCTTGTGATTTTGTTGCGCTGGTGATTTCGTTGTGCGGGTGATTTCGTTGTGGTTTCATTGCGCTGGTGATGTTGCTGTGCTGGTTGTGATTTCGTTGTGCTGGTGGTGATGTTGTTGTGCTGGTTATTTGTATCTTTGTGAACTGTTGCTCAGGCGCCTTCGCTGAGACGGTATGAGGGCACGATGCATGCAAAAAAGGTTCGTTTTCCTATCGCAGAGGTTTGTGTTCGTAGTCCAAGAACGTGAATACATTCGGGTTCGTGGTTTCCATCTTGTTTCCCTGGGTCTCTGTTTTCAGACAAACGAAGTTGTTTCAAGGTGTTTCAAAATATCTTTGGGATGAAAGTCTGACTTGACATCCCAAGAGGTAGTATATTCACGCTGCTACATCCTTCTGTAGTGTAGAGGGGGCAAAAAACACAACAAGCAAGGTATGATGTCATATATATATATATGTACATCAGATGTGCAAGGTATGATGTCCTGGGTGGCCGTACCATTTTCTACAAGCAACTTGGATGCTTGGGGAATGTGGTGCAAGGCGGCGGTGAATTCGAAGGACCTTTTTAAACGATTGGTCCTTGAAAAAAGGGCAGATATGCACATATTTCAAGTTTATGAATTTCGATAACTTTTCTTTGTTGATTTCAATCATGTTTCATCATATTTCAGGTTCGTGAATTAGGATCACGTTTTTTTCTTGGTTTCAAACAGTTTTTTTCTACGTTCCATCGTGCCAGTTGACCTGAACTTCAGCTTGAAACCACCAGTGAAGAACACACCGTAGGATTGACATCTCAAGTGTAAGCTTGGCAGCTCCACAAGTCCAAAGTACCCAATGGAGCCATTCATGGCAATGTGGATCAGGAAATCAAAAGGATTTGGGTAAAGAATAGTTAAAATGTGATTAAAACACTATTGAACCACCCATGACTGGGAATGGTAACCATACCACATAAAAAACCACCTATCAAAATGGTGATTTTCCTTGGGCATGGTTCATTATATTATATCCCATATATGTTTACCGATTTCCCCACTATATATGACCAAGTTGCGGGTGGTTACCATTAAATACCATAAACATGACCAACAAACCACCATTTGCTCCAACTTGCGGGTATCAGGCAGCAGGAGGGTGAGACGCAAAAAACTCGTAGCTCGGCGCGAGGAGTTTGCAGTGCGTAGGGTGGAAAATACATGAAAATACCCTATAGACATCCCTATAGACTCTACAAAGTGGGCCCCCTAGATAGCTAAGTTGGTTTATAAGTGGCTGAATTCTATGGTTTATGGTAGATATAACATGATATAACTATAGTCATAGTTAATGCGGTTTGTAAACCAATTTATAACTAGAGGGGCACCATCCTGTATAGTTGATTGTTGTTTGGTGGATTATGATAGCTATTCGGGGAACCCACCAACCAACAACGCTCCGCCCTGATGAAAACGCGCGCGCCGCGCAAGAGAAGATCTCCTAGCGTAACATCCCGCATATGTGCAAGAACATAAAGAAACCGAACGTTATTTCCCCTCCCCAACACCCCACCCCCCCTGCAAAACACTGGGAGAGTCTGGGATAGGTCTATGTGTCAAAATTGGCTGACTAAAGATGAGAGTTTTTCTGGTCTCCTTGGACTTATATTCTGATGAAGCCCTTTAAAATTTTAGTGCCCCTCAAGTTGGATGGGGGTTGTTTCTTCTCAAATTATATACACTCTGGTAAACATACAAAAAACTATGGAAAATCATCATTTTAAGTTTGGTAAACCATCTATTTCTATGGGCCATGGCTTCAATAGCAAACAACAAATTACCGGAGAGTACATGAATTGATATCTTAGACCCCAATGTTTTCACTTGCCTTCACTCGCCCAGAATATATTGTCGGCTGCGACTGGCAAAGTGTCTCGTCTTCAGGATCTCTTTCGGCTTAACTTGTCTATAGATATACAGGATGGGGCCCCCAAGATAGCTAAGTTGGTTTATAAGTGGCTGAATTCTATGGTTTATGGTAGATATAACCATAGTCCATAGTTAATGGGGATTATAAGGGTTTATAAACCAACTTATAACTGTGGAGCCCCACCCTGTACCGACATATACAAACAAACCTATGATACCTGCTATATCGAATATTTAATCCTCCTGCTATGCCCTGGTTTCTGAATGTTTCTGAATCCCATATGCAACCCATGGTGCTGGTATATAAAAACCTACATGACTGGGTGATTTTGGACAAGGGCAAATGTTGGTGTGCATATTCCAGCACCATGTGTTGCATATGGGTTAAGTGGGTTATAAGATGTTATACGTCATATTATACATATATATATCCAATGTTAATCCATGATATCCCGAGAAAAAAAACACCAAGTAAATTCCGAGCATTTTCCACGGTCTTTTTTCGGCCCCCTGTGGAAACTTCCACGTCGCTGAGACGGGGCAACATATGCCATGTAGGTCCGGCGACTTCCCACGATCCCATGCCTCAATGGTACGGATGATGTGTTACTACCAGCTGCCTGTACACAGAAAATGTCGTGAATTTGGGAGGCTGGCAGCATACATTATTATAACTGCACACACTTTATAGTATATATATATATAGTGTATATATATATACACATACATATATATTATATACATATACATTATATATTTAAATATATTTTATATACTGTATACCACTGGAATAGTAGCGCTGAGGAAAGATTCCCATTGTCATGGCGCTGAAAGAGCCCGATGAGACTCTCGGGTGGACGTCGTGAACATTTTCCATTCATTATGGGCTCTGATTGTAGGGTTTCTGTGGACATGGAAAGCCCCCCCAAAAAAAATCCAAAACAAAAAAGGGGCAAACATTACTTTTCATTTTTTTGAAGATATGAAAGATGCGATAGATTGGTGGTCCAAAAACATACAATGTGGGGCCCCCTTGAACGACAATTATGTTGGCTTATAACTTCAATAACTCTGGTTTATGGTACTTATAACAATAGTTAATGAGATTTATAAACCAACTTATAACTGAGGGGTGGGGGCACATTGTATATATATCTTTGAATGAATCTGGTATAATCCTGATCCCCAAGAAAACAACGGCACTTCTCTTTGTTCCAGCACCGCTTAAGCCCGGGTCTACCAGGAATGGCAATGGCGAAGCGACTTGACTGATGTTTTTCATCGATGGGTGAAGATTGGGTGTTGAATTCCCTAACAGCCAGACATGGTAAAAAGATGTAAACATGTAGGGGATAACACATCTGGGACCCTTTGTATGGTGGTGGGGATTTTCCGTCGGGTGTTCACCTTAAATATTGGAGTCACTTTTGAATTTTGGAAGACATCGAAGTCGTGTGTTGGAAACAGTCTATTGCCATAAACAATTGGTTGTATGGCATGCATTTGTTGGTGATCAATATTAATCTGGTTGGTGGTTTGGATCATTTTTGATTTTTCCATATATTGGGAATAATCATCCCAACTGACTAATATTTTTCAGAGGGGCTGAAACCACCAACCAGTAATGTTTGTTTCTTTAAATCCCATGCTTTTTTGATTCAACATGTATTTTGAGGTTCCTTTCCAAGCACGCTAAGCACGTGCATGTTTGTACAACGCATCTCTGAATTGCAAACATGTCGGACTATCGTTTTCAAAGCCGTCTATTGTTGTTCCGCCTTGGTGAAATCACCAAAGTTTCTTGTTTGACATGCCATAAACATCATTAAAAACATCATTAAATCAGACTGGTGCACATGTTTTTTCGTGTTACGGGAATTGAAATACGAAGAGGTGCAAGGCGATAGAAAACAGTGCCACATGGCCGGTGATGGAAGCAAGGCTGAACCTGTCCGTGTCCAAACCTGGGATGCATGCAGTGTTTTGCCACTCGCCCAAATGAAATGCGAAAAGAAAAATCGTATTTCCCACATCGTGTTTTTAAAATCCCCTATAAAGCCACGTCTTTCTGGTTCGGTGCCCTTCAGTGACCAGGTTTTCTCCATCGGTCGCTTTTATACGACTGAAGAAGAGTTCACCGTGAAACTTCTCCCAGGGGAGCGAGTCACTTGAAATCACAATGCGCTGTTGGGCACCTGAGTTCTAATAATGATTCATGGTTAATTAATAAATTATAATAGTGATCCATGGTTAATAGTGAAGCATGATTGTAATCATGATTAATGATGACTTTCATAGTGATTCATGCTACCCAAAATCAATCTTAACGAATCTTAACCTACCGTGTAGGATGTTGCTCACCCTCACGTCGACCAACATGGCGGGTCCGAACTTTAAAATGAGTTTGTCAATATGTTTGGGGTAACCCCCTAGACCAACAGAGTTCCTCAATCCAAGTTGGATGATATTCACCCATCCAAGTGTAGATGTATCCACCACAAACGGCACGGGGGTCGCATTTGCCCCTATTCCATCTTGGGTCGCATTTGCCGGGATGAAGTGGGTTTAGGGGCGAATGTGACCCTCCTTTAGGGGCGAATGTGACCCCTGCTTTTGCGTGGCAGGCGCAATAGTTTCAGAGCCTCAAAAGGATTTTTTCCATCCTAGAGAGTGATATTCACGTGTTTTTCTACGTTCCAACAGCCATTTCAATCAACTTCCAGGACACTATGCATGCTATGGTGTTCCATTGCTATACGTTGTAACATCCATTTCGAGCAACTTCCAAGACGCTTTGGATGTCACCTTCCAAGAGACATTTCAATCAACTTCTAGGACACTATGGATGCTACGTTGTACCATCTAGTTCGAGCAACTTGGAAGACGCCTCGGATGCTACGTTCCAACAGCCAGTTCAATCAACTTCCAGGACACTATCATGCTACGGTGTACCATTCCTACGTTGTAACATCCATCTCGAGCAACTTCGAAGACGTTAAACCCTAAAGGGTTGAGTAACATATGGAATAGAGAGACAAGTCAACATATGCCCCCATGTCCCCCCCTAAACCCGAGTCCCCCTAAATGCCCCCTTGTCCCCAGGTTAAACCCTAAAGGGTTGAGTTACATATGGAATAGAGAGACAAGTCCCCCTAAATGTCCCCTTGTCCCCAGGTTAAACCCTAAAGGGTTGAGTAACATATGGAATAGAGAGACAAGTCAACATATGCCCCCATGTCCCCCCCTAAACCCCAGTCCCCCTAAAAGTCCCCTTGTCCCCAGGTTAAACCCTAAAGGGGTGAGTAACATATTTAAATTATTGTTGTTTAGGGGCGAATGTGACCCCTTTTGGTTTAGGGGCGAATAGGACCCTCTTTTAGGGGCGAATGTGACCCCCGTCCCTATCAGAATGTATGAGAAGACTTACTCTTCTAGCATGTGGTCAGCTGCTTGTGGCAATCTTTTGTGTGTTAGTGTCATCTATTGACACGTGTAGATTGACAATGTTCGACTTGAGCAGTGGAGCTGCAGGCTGTGCAGTTTGTGGAAGGTGCGCACGCCGGACGGAAGAGGTCGCGCAGTCCCAGAGTCCGATTGGTCCAGTCTGCCACTGAACGTGCAGAAGCAGATGGCTGCACATGGCTTTGAGGTGACCCGTTGATCTGGTAGCTTCCAGCTCCTGCTAATTTGGCCGAGTGTCCCTTTTTGTAGACTTGCCTGGAGCCATGAGAGCAATTTTGTGTGGGGTAAACCAAGTAAGCAAGTTGCCATTGGAAATGTTTTAAGCGGTCTTTTGTTGAAGAGCGCATGGAAGCGCATGGCTCTGCGTAGATGTATGTGAGTTTATCGTGTTGTAGACACGTGGTGAGCCTTGGCGTCTTTCGCCTGGAAAATGTGGGAAGGAAGTTTTTTTTTTTGCGGCAGTGTATTTGTGTGAGCAGATTTTCAAACCTATGGCTCCGAGGCACCCTGTAAACCATCCATTCCATGTAACATGCGATTGTGTAGAGCCTTGGCGGAGGGGACTTTTGAGCACAGCCAAGAGGGTCGCACGTTTTGGGGGCCGAGTCTGTGGATCAATATACTGGCAAGCATATGCAATAGTGAGGCGAAGGAAAAATTGGAACCACGTCCCCGTGTTTTCAGACTTGCTTGCATGTGGCAGCAAAGAGGTGTAGCTCGTCGCCAGTTGACATATGCCCCCAAGTCCCCCCCTAAAGGTTCCCCAGTCCCCCTAAATGCCCCCTTGGTAAACCCCTAAAGGGTTGAGTAACATATGGAACAGAGAGACAAGTCAACATATGCCCCCAAGGCCCCCCCCAAAATCTCAGTCCCCCTAAATGTCCCCTTGTCCCCAGGTTACAACCTAAAGGGTTGAGTAACATATGGAATAGAGAGACAAGTCAACATATGCCCCCATGTCCCCCCCTAAACCCCAGTCCCCCTAAATGCCCCCTTGTCCCCAGGTTAAACCCTAAAGGGTTGAGTAACATATGGAATAGAGAGACAAGTCAACATATGCCCCCATTTCCCCCCCTAAACCCCAGTCCCCCTAAAAGTCCCCTTGTCCCCAGGTAAAACCCTAAAGGGTTGAGTAACATATTGAAATTATTGTTGATTAGGGGCGAATGTGACCCCTTTTGGGTCAGGGGCGAATGTGACCCTCGAATAGGGGCGAATGTGACCCCCGTCCCACCACAAACTATTGCTAACGGCGAACGTATTTACAAAGCAACAGAAGCTTATCTGGGGGGCCCACATGAAAACATTTTGGACCTCATTGGTGCATATCATGGATATAGCATTTAATAGGGCTTTAACATTGTTCTTTTTTCATTTCCCATAGGATCCATGTATGCTATATATGGTAACATTTACCATCAATATACTGTACCCCAAATGTTAGCATATATACCATACATGGATCCTATGGGTTTTGATATGACCAACATGATACTGTAAGTGAAGCTCCAAAAATGGGATATATAGACAAGGTAATACCGTAATACCCAAAGAAACGCAATATAAGAAGCAGACAGAGGAACATAAGGACCTCTCTTCATCACCGCTGCGAAAACGTTCAATGCTATAGGGATATACTCCCTGGCTGCTGAGCCTAAAACACTGTTGCGACCTGGGGATTACCCTCCGGTAATTTAACATAGGGAACCTCACCATTGTATGGACATGTATATCTGGTTGGTGGTTTGGAACATGAATTTTATGACTTTCCATATATTGGGAATGAATAATCATCCCAACTGACGAACTCATATTTTTCAGAGGGGTTGAAACCACCAACCAGATATAAATCTGTGAATCATGCTTAACCGGGGGCCATTTTCCACAGAGGTAGATTGCGGGTATAGCTCAAAACAGATGTAACAACAAGATATTGAGAAAAGTACTCCCTGCTCCCCAATGCTCAAATATGCTCGGTAACCATAAATTGAGAGACTCCAAAATAGATCCTCAAACAAAACCAGGGTAAAGCGGCAGTTTGGAATGGGGAGTACTTTAGACTAGGAGAAGCGATGTTTGTCAGAAATCGCAATTTCGTTAATTGATATAGCTATGGAAAATCACCATATCATATTTTATTCGCCATAAATCATCGATAGGCGAACCAACTTCCATAGCTATATTGAATAACCAGAGGGTGATGTGAAAAGGATTGGACGACATCCGATGAAATCATGTGCCACACTGTGAAATTTTGGCTATCTATAAGCGTACCAATGTACAGATCTACTAGTCAGATCTATACCTATACATCTATATCTGGTTGGTGGGTTCAAGCTTTTTTTTCAAGATGGTTAAAACCACCGACCAGATATCTAATAATATATAAGTATTCTCAGTATGATCTATATCAATATCTATAAAAGTAATATCAGCATTTATACATAGCCCTATGAGATGACAGCTTGGCCGCTATCTATCTTGTGTGATCCTACTAGCGGAAGCCATTGAAGTCACTTCGCCCGCATCTTACCCCTGCAAGGTGGTGCCCCCGTTCGATAGTTAAGTTGGGGGACACATAACTCCAATAACTATGATTTTTGTTGGTGATATATCTATAGCTGGTTGATGGTTTGGAAGATGAATTTTATGTTTCCTTCAGTTGGGAATGTCATCATCCCAACTGACGAACTCCATCATTTTTCAGAGGGGTAGGGCTCAACCACCAACCAGTCACTGTGGCTGAAGAAATCAGGTGGAGTTTGCACATGGTATGCTCACTTGGGATGTGATGACAGGAGACAGCATCCCGGCCATGGCCGCAGTGCGGCATCATTTCTCGGGACTTGGGGACCAGGGAGGTACAAGTCACACATCATTGCTTGGAAAAACCTTGGTAAACCAATTTACAGAACTTCCGATGGTTGATGGTGAATATCCATTCTGGATGATATGACGATTGAGGGAGGTTCACCCTACAGCATGATAATGAGCTATCAATACCTCTCAATTCAGCAAACTAGGGTTTTGAATTGGCGTTGCTATGAATGATATACCTTGTGGTGTCAGTATTTCTGCAGACAATTGCAAACTAGCAGCGTAATTCCTAATAACGCAGACGAAAGCATACCTCCGTGCTTGAAATATGATGTGGAGGTTTCATACAATGGGGGTGCCCCAAAATGGATGGTTTATAATGGAACATCCATGAACATGCTTAGGGGTCCTTCTTCCATTTAGGAAACCTCCATATGGTATTCAATGTCGCACTTCTGTATCCTACACCAAACGCATAGCTTGGTGAATGTACACATGGAGCATTTGGTGATTTCAGGTGCGCACTTTGACCCCGGTGGCGAACCGTGTATCCCCAACTTTCCACTTTGGGTCCATCCTCGTATATACCCAACATGGAAGTATCTACACATAGTAAGACGATACTTTGATGGGTGCTTTCTGCTAGGCACATGAGTTGGGTACCCTCAGGTACCTCCAGATCTATGGGGATGCCTCGGAAGACTTGAAATGAAAACGAAACGAAAGATTTGGATCGGTCAAACATGGTCAAAGTCGGGTCGAAGATGAGGTGTTTTTCACTTCCGGGACGGCACTGGACTTTACTTCAAACCCCAGGTGCGCCGGTTTTTGTCGATGAATTTCTGGTTTTTGACATGTTCTGACACTGACAACAAATCACATTGGTTTCAATTCAACTATTTATGGATGAATAGTTTCAAATGTCATTTACTGTAACTATGAATATTTATGGATGTGCTCTCTCTCAACTATTCAGTTTCATTTTAACACATCCATAGGGATCATGAATCCATACGATACCATCTGATCCATGACCATCGATGGCGAAAAAACACGGTCATCTGACCGTCAGTTGGATGAGTTTTTACCCGGAACCAAAGTGGCATGACATTCCTCTGAAATGGACGGCTAAACCTTCATTTTGTGGGTCAAAACCTTCAGAACAAGGGTCGTTTGGTTTCTGTATCATATTTTGATACGATATACAATTTATATATATATATATATATAATACATAATAATGTTAAAGCCGGATTAATAAGCCACCAGTTCATTAACATGGCGGGGTGTTCCCAAAGGGTGATATGTTTCTTCTAAATTGTACCCCCCCATTTTACTATACCCATGGGCAACCCAGGGTGCTGGTATATAAAAACCTACATGACTGGGTGATTTTGTTTGGGCAGATGTTGGTGTGCATATTCCAGCACCATGGGTTGCATATGGGGCATATGGGTTGCAGATAACTGTACCCAATTTTCCGCAGCCACCCTAAGACCACCAACCAATCTTTCAATCCCTTGGCTCCCCAACAGGCGAAAGCACCTGGTAACGATGTTCCCCGCTCTGAGATGATCCCAATTGACCAGTATGGTGTCCAGAAAACTCCGAAGAATGACTGTCATGACAGCAGCGGCCAAAATCCCTCCGTTGATGTTTGGTCAATGTTTGTTTTTTTGCTTTATATAATTATATATATATACATATTCAATATTTCATATATATATATACATATATATATATGTATATACATATTTCAATATTTCATATATATATATATATATATATATACATATTTCAATATTTCATATATATATATATATATACATACATATGATGTATAGTTATATTTATATGTATGTATGATCTACTGTACATTTATACATATATATATATATACATACTATGTATATATATATACGATATGTATCAGGAGGATTCACTGTCTACATTTCCCACCATGAACCACCCATCGGAGGGCTTTCGCCTCCGAATCAACCTGGAAAGGCCCCATAAAACACTGCTCCAGCAATCAACAGGAAGATAAAGGGACTAACTGACCCATTATATGATATAATAATGGTTAATATATGGTTAATATATGGTTAGTTAATATATGGGTTAATATATAAATAAATTAACCTATTAACAAATATTAACCATATATTAACATATATTAACCATATATTAACCATATATTAACCATATATTAACCATATATTAACCATACAACCACCATATATTAACCATTATTAATAAGAGAATTGCATATATTAACCATTATATATGCATATATATATATATATGCATATAGAGTTTCATGAATGAGGGAACTGATCATGAGCCACTGACCACACTCCAACTAGGGGTGAATATCTAATTATGGTTGCGATAACCCAGTTATGTTTGCAATTAATTAAGAACGAACACACATGCAGTTGTTGATGGAAAATTTGCGGCGAAACATGATCTGGTTGGTGGTTTCAATCATGGTTGGTTTTTTCCATAATATATGGGATGTCATCCTTCCCATTTGACGAACTCATATTTTTCAAGATGGGTAGGTATACCACCAACCAGATGGTTACTTTGGGCCGACCACAAAATACGCCCTGACAGAACCTGGAGAATGGCTATCGTCAGCATGAGGACGGAGCATTTGCCGTTAAAGCCCTACCAGGTATTAATGGTTATAAATGGAGCAAATAATGGAGTTATCATAACTGGTTTATAACCATTAATACCTAGTCAGTTCTACCAGTTATAAGTCAGCAATTGGTGGAGTTATCATTCCATAAATGGGGTTAGAACTGACCAAAATAACTGGTCTTTCGGGTCATAACTCTATAGGTTTTATGCCATGGCCATCGACGGAAAATCGAGTAGCCGGTTATTTTGGTCTCGATCGCTGTGTTTTTTCCGCATGGGATCTAAGATGAGCCGAGCGATATTTGCTACTGGTAGGTTGAGGGTAGCTTGCTGTTCTTCCGGTGATTCAGAATGGTTGGAGGCATAACATCCCTGTTTGATTTCATATTGCTTATGGATTAAACCCCTAACTGGTTGGGATCATGAATCTGGGGGAATTATAACGACCTCACTGCGACCTCACTGGGAATCATGGTTAATAAGGGGAATCATCCCAATATGGTCTTAATTCAGGTTAGTGAAATATTGTAATTTACTCAGATGAATCTCCCTCGTTACTAGTCAGCATGGGGATTAAATGAGAGAATTAGCCAACCATTACGAAGAAGAAATTAAACATCACCAGCGACACTCCGGATATATTTGTCACTAAATCCTAATCCACTTTCGCATTGTTTCACGGCATTGAAATCAACACACAGTCCTCGACGCATACTACACTCTGGTAAACTAACGTCCCTTAATAAACTTTAGTAAAACACACGTATTTTCCAGGTTAGTTTTCTGTAAAATTTGAAACATACATCAGAGCTACGTTTGTTTACCGGAGAGTATTTTAGTGGATTCAAATATTTTCTGAGGCTGCAAATTGGACCATGTTGTTGCAGTGTTCAGATGCAATTGGGTCCATGCTTGGGGATGCAGTTGCATCTATTTCACCATAGAAACAGGGCTATTCCCAACTTCTGGCCGTAGACTCCTATGGATGTATCTATACCTGCACCCAAAGTACTGAGTAGTGTGCATGTATATATTCCGTATGTATATATATATGGGGGCAAGTCAAAATAGGAGGTCCGGAACAAGCTCCGGGACCACACCCGTTCCATACCCCCGTTCCATACCTCTGTTCCATACCTCTGATCCATACGTTATTATATATATATATATAATTATCTATATTTATTACTTATATATTTGTATATACAGTATATACATATATATATATGATTATGTGCAATATGATTTTACATTTGTACGCACATATATGAACGCACGTACATACATGAGTGCATACATGCAAGAATACGTTTACTATGCCCAAGCCCTGTGATTGTGTTGGCAAGTCTGTGCCTGCAGCACTTACAGCTGCTACCTACTTTGTTGTGTGATGGTAGGGATGTGCTTGGCTGCTGCCAGCTGGCAGTCTAAGAATGGATTGCTTGTAACCCTCCCTCCCTCTGTGGCAGGTTTGTGCCTGCACCACTTAAAGTTGCTGCAGGCTGTGGCACAGCTGTGGTGTTTGATTGTAGAGATGCGCTTGGCTGCTGCCAGCTGGCAGTCTAAGAATTGCTTGCTGCGCTATTCTCGCTCCAAACTGCGAATCTTGATAAAGATGTGCTGCGTGGTGGCAGTGCTGTGCTGGAGTGGGCCGTTTCGCTCCAGACCCCGTTCCATACCGTTCCATACCCGTTCCAGACCTGGACCACCCATGTACCACCCCTGACCCACTGGTGAACACATGGCAGGTTCTCACATAGACTGCTCGCAAGCCATCCTTTGCGCGTGGGTTATGGGAGGGTAGAGTCTTGCTATGCAGGGACACAATCTACCCCATAGGGACCTCTGAGTTTTAAGAGTAGGAGGTGGGACCTGCGTGACAGGTCTGAAGCTGAGTCGACAGCTTCACATGGTAGCCAGTGTGTGACACTGGCTACCGGTCGTGTCATATCTAGTGCACGAGCACTAGCCATGCAAGGCAAACCTGCGTTGAACAGGTGTACAACAAGCATGTCGTGCAGATGAGGAGTAGCTTCAACGTGCATATCCTTGAGATGTATATTATATATGTTACATACAATTAAAGTATATATATATATATTTATTTATTTATTTATGTATAGCCTATATTTCATCACACTCCAAAGGTCCGGAACAAGACCAGTTACGAAGCCCCTTCGTTCCATACGTCCGGAACACCGCGGAACGTTCCATACACAATTTTGACTCGGGACCATATATATATATATACATACATATCCCTATGAAATCCATTTGAAATCCTGATAAAATCCCTGTGAAATCCCATGAAATCACCATATTTGGTGCAGGTTTTAATTCGACCTGCACCCCTCTGGAAGTCAGTCATGGTCCACGTGGCAGGAGATGTTGCAGAATATGAAGCAGAATGGAGCGAAGTTGTGCACCCACACCGTACCTTGGTTTTTTTCTAGGCTCTCGGATTTGGCCGAGAAATCATTTGAAATTAGTTCAAATGATTGGTTTTTCCTGGCCATATATAAACCACATATCATGACTTTAACATTCGTTTTTTTTTTCCGGGCCCAAATAGGGATAACCATGGGATAAAAAGTGGGACTGAACCAAGGAGATATGGGAAGTGGATGTGCAAAGATAAGGGGTCCAATCTGGATGAGGTCAAAAACGTGGGTACTTAAATGCTAAACCGAATAAAAGGCTAGTTAAATGGCAAACTCAGGTTCTGTTACCATGTTGATGGGAAATCAAATATAAAGTAATTCAATCTAATTCGCCCAACCAACTGTATAGATACATACATTCATGCATGCATACGTACGTACCTACGTACCTACGTACCTACGTACCTACGTATCTACTACCTGCCTGCCTGCCTGCCTACCTGCCTACCTACCTACATACCTATACCTACCTACATACCTACATACCTACATACATACATACATACCTACATACATACATACATACATACATACATACATACACATACATACACATACATATACATACATACACATACATACACATACATACACATACATACACATACACACACATACATACACATACATACACATACATACACATAAAGTAACAACGTACTCGCACACTTGGACCTAGTACGATGGCGCAGTGGCGTGTGAAGACTGATCAGAAGGCGGAGTCCAAGGGAAAGACTGCTCCAGGGTGGCTTGAACGCAAAGACGCCTCGAATTACCATGTGGCGTTGGGATTGGCACTTGGGGCCATGGAGGAACAAAGGAATCTTGCCTTTCTCCTCAGCAGGAACACAGTCACCGGAATGATGAGGCAGAAGTCACCAGATGAATTGGCCGAGTACATTGGCCGTGTCACCACTGTGGTACCAGCTGGTGGAGAGCTCATTGGACTGCAACACAACTATAAATGGCCTCCTGGAACTGTGTTGTGTTTTTTTTGAATGGAAATGGTGGATTGAGCCCCAGTTTTTTTTTTCGCCATCAAATAATAGGATAAGATGGTGATCTTGGGTCCGTTTGTGGAGAGGATGCCTCCCAAACGGCTATGTTTAAAAAGGGAATTCGATAAGAATTCTCACGGACACTAGCTTGGACAACTGTTTATGGTTGGTATCCTATCGCAAAACCATTTTGTCAAGTCATTTCGGGACCAATAAAGCAACAACGTATAAAGTAATACAATTCGCCAATAGACCGACCATTCTGTAGGACCAGAAACCTTTCAAAGGAATTAATCACATATTCACCAACAAAACCAATGACAAATCACACATGTCCATTTGAACATGGCTATATATCAGCATTATGCTCCCCATTTATGGCCATCAAATAATAGGGAACATGGGGACTTTTGTTGGACAAACCCAAGTATCCCAATCCCCCAAAACAGATCAGCACATCTTTAGCACTCCTGGGGTATTTGTATTTTTTTGGATATTGATATATATATATATATAATATAGATATATATTGGATGCACATGGATTTCCAATGATAGCTGTATTATGGTATGGTATGAGATGGTGCCACCAGGACAACTGCCATGTGCAGTTTAGTCCTGCATTTTCCAAAACTGAAAGACCGAAATGGGTCCACAAGCTATGTTGAATGGGAATATGTTGAATGAATTTAAGATGCATGTTCGACTGATTTTTTTTGGTGTTTACTTCAGAAACTGATGATGTGCTGTGATTTTTCATTCTGAGATGTTCAATTTACATCCCTAGACTGTCTAGATGTGTGATGAATATTGATTAATCATGGTTTGTAAGGGGAATCATCCCCGAATGGCCTTAATTCAGGTTAGTGAAATATTATTATTTACCCAGATTAATAGTTGCTTCACAGCTGGCGCTAGGTGAAGGTTCACGCGCACGGCACAGCACATGTGCTTGGGCGAGCCGTGGGGGCGGTCGGCGAACTCGATGGTTTGGTGTTGGTATTGTAGCTGTGTCTCACGATCAATTATTAAAGGTGCTACTTTGCATATGTTTCTGTTCTAAATGTGTACTGTATATAATTATATATATATACCTATGGTTTAGGATCTATGGTTGTTTTTGCTGGATTGTGGTAATTGGGTAGCACATTTGGCTGTGATATGATCTTGTCTGAAACTCACGCAGCCCAAGAAATGATGGTTGATCGTGTTTTGTTCCCCATATGTTCCTCCTATTCTTCCTATGTCTTTTAAAGGCAATGCCATGGTAAGTAATACCATGTGAATAGCCATACCCTGTTAATACCCCATTAGGAGCTCAGTTGTCCCTCAGGTGGCGCTCAGTAGCTAGGAATCAGATATGTTTTTCGTAGTTCACCCCAAGGATACGTTTGCGGAGCCCCCCGAAAAGATAGAACAGATTCAATTTATCACTATTTCTCAGTCTTATTTTGCTTGTCTATCTGTTTGGAGCTTACTTCAGGTCAAGTAGGGATAGTTCAGTGTTATTATATATATATATAGCTGGGAATGATGGGACCTGATCTACGTTTTTCCTGGGATTTTTGGAACTGAAGTCATGGAGAGTTTATTTTGTGGCCTGACCCAAGTCATGAATCTGAATCTTTGGTAAGGAGCAGAGGTTTACACCCCCAGATATCTAGTTACCCTCTGGTAAATTAACATAGCTATAGAAAATCACCATTTTGAATAGGTAAATCAACTATAAATGTGGTATGTTCAATAGCTATGTTAAATTACCAGAGGGTATAGCATGTTTTTTGACGCAACAGAAGCCTTTCCTCCAGGAAAACATGTGGGCTAATTTGACCAACATTTTGGACTGGTGACTGGACTATGCTTGGGGTGTCCATCCTTTGTGGCAAACCCCCCCTGGTTGTTGAACATCACCCGAAAGTGGAGTGAAGGAAGCCCCTCAAAAGACAACCTGAATGTGGTTTGTACCCAAGAGTTAAATACATCGTTTGGAGTATGTTCAATGGCCATGTCAGGAACCTAAATTGGAGGTACCTACCATATATAAGGCCCACATAAGGCCTATGTAAGGGAACATCCCCATAAAATATGTTCTTATATGGTACAGTACCTCCATTTTAGGATCCTGAAATTCCCATTGATATGTTCGTACCCCCAAATTGTAAAATTGGATAAAGTGGGGATGTTGTTAGTTTTGGGTTTACTGCTATAATATTCTATGTGGGTTTGTCTCAAAATTAAGTACCCCAAACTCCACGACAAAAACAAGAACAACAACAAAACAACAACGAAGAACAACAAGAACAACAAGAACAACAACGGCAACAACGACAACACCAACGACAACAACAACGACAACAACGACGACAACAACCATTACTTATACTTCTGGTTTGAATCCCCATACTTCTTTGTGCGTAGCACCCCATTTTCTCTGGTCAAATCTCTCCCGGGTCGCTGCAACTGAGATCGGTCCCAACAGCACCAGAAAAGTGGATGGCGTCGAGGTTCAAATCAGACCCAAGGACGGCCCAACCATGTCCAACCGGGTCTCAAAATGGCTTTGTTTCATGGGATTTTTATGAATCCTAATATACTTTAAATGTACTAAAAATGGTTAGTACTTTAAAGCCATGCTTCCTAACCATGGTAAACCAAGAATAAATCATCCCCAATTGGGGATGAAGTGGCGGTCTACCCGGACTGGGTGGTACAATCAACAATCTGGGTCCCAACATGTAAAAGGTAGGGTTCCATGAGGTCATGATGAAAAATGCCGATGAACCCATTACCCTCTGGTAAACTAACAGTTTGCTATTGAAAATGGCCATAGAAATAGTCGATTTACCCATTGAAAATGGTGATGTTCCATAGGTTTTTGTATGTTTACCAGAGGGTAATATGTAGATTTCAATGGGAATAGAATGATCCATGACCAGATTTTTTTCGCCAACGTTGTCTGATATGGCAAGGTTTGTCTCACAATGTGATTCTTTGATTGCAAGATATTGCAATGTTCAGTGGACAAAATACCAAAAAAAACATTGGATATCATTCTCCATTGGATAATATGTGGATAAAATACTATAAGCCATTGGACAAATTACTATAAACCATAGTATGTTCCATTCTCCATTGGATAAAAGTCCGTTGATATTCCACTGGATTTGGAAGTATACCAAGCATTTTCAGAGACCGAAACAAATCAAATGAGACTTGTGGAGCTGGGCTTTCTGAAAAAAAATGATAAAGTCAATTTTAGGAGTCTTAGATACTGGGCAGACCTCAGAACGTCTATCCTCTGGTAAACATTCACAGTTTGCGAACTGGAAGCCATGGCCCAGTCGAAATAGTGGATTTTCCCAGCTATAAAATGGTGATTTTCCATAGTTATGTAAACGTTTACCATAGATCCATAGGGTATCCTCAGTTGTGAATGCTTTTCCAACGATTTCGCCATGTCCAGCGAAAAAACACAACGATTCGGCTGGGCCGACCTCACGTCGTGACCTCACTGGAATGATGCTTAGTTATAGTTATAGTAAAGAGATGTAAGGGGGATCGTTCAAATAAAAAAAATATTTCAGGCTAGTGAAGTATTACTATTTACCGAGAGAATTGCATTTGAATCATTTTGATTGCTTTCTTGCTATCTAATCTAGATGGACACATCTGTACATGGAAGCGACTGGGCCCCCTTTCGAAGCGGGCCGGAAGGTTAACCTGGCTTGTCCTTAGAGGGGGCCCTCATCAACAAGGATCCAGTCAAACGCGCGATGTGGTGCGTCACAGGAATACATGAAAGTTGGTGGTTTAAAGCTGATGCGGAAGTATGTTCCAGGCGCCGAAAGGGAGGAAGGGCATTGGGGTCCAGTGATATAATATTATATGCATTCATTTTTGGGGGCCACCCTATGCTGTAGCTGATACTAAGTTACTACGGTCTTGACTTAAGTCGCATCTTCATGTGGAAGGTACTGTATATCATTGTGTGGCGCCCACCACACGAAACACAGTTGTCATCTTATATTAGTCTTATATCATGTGATTTGATACTGGTAATTATTATTAAAGCACGTATAAAAGCATGTATTATTGCTGCTGCCGGGCACAGCTGAGCTGCGTCAAACCCCACACACACATTATTCCGTACTTAAGTTCATGCAGAGAAAACACGGTGCATTATGACTGCGCGTGTGCAATGTTTGGGTGATTTCCCCAAGGGATTTTCATCTACTTTGTATGCTTTGCATTGATTTGGCGCCCGCCAAGAATTGTTACAGATAGCACGGCTTGTGACTTCAACGGCGTGATGTGCCTCGTTTTCACAGTGCCACAGAAGATGCGCGTTTAGTGGCAATATGCGAGTCAAGTTGACACCTTGTGTAGAGTTGTTGATAGTTTTTTGTATGTTTGTTTTCAAGTTTTTGATAGTTTTTGTATGCTTTTTTAAAAGTTTTCAATTTCCAACGTCTTAACTCATATTGGTGGCATGGGTGCAAACGCATCCGGCGATGGCAAGGTGAAGTGGGCCTCTTGAGCGCGCAATACGAAAAGCTGCCAGTGGTCAAGCTGAAAAGATACTGGCTTCGCTGCAATTACGACGCTGATTGGAATTGGTTGGCTTTTTAGTAATCAAACATGGCTGGAAAATCCATGAAAATCCCGCATTTATAGACTGGTTGGTGGTTTCAAACATTTGGTATTTTCCATAATATATGAGATAATCCTTCCCATTTGACGAACTCATATTTTTCAAGATGGGTAGGTATACCACCAACCAGATGGATTTTTCAGACCATTTCCCAGCCATGTTTGAGTAGCGGAGAAGAAGTTGGCTGTTGGGTCACACTTTTATAATTTATACAAAGATTCGGGGTAGCAATACGTAAAGACATCAGCAGCAAGAACAGACTGCACGATACTGCTCGCAAGGAAAATGGCGAAGTACTTAAGCAAACCAAAATACCTCAAAATCCCCTGGCTGATCATGATCGAAATTGCATTTCTGGGGTATCCCTCATGTCTGGACAAGCCCATCTCATTTTGTTGAAGATCTATCTCTTCAAAAATCCCGGGTATGAGAAGCCTGATATCCTCCTACCTCAAAATTCCGATATCTGGTTGGTGGTTTGGAACATTTTTTTTTTGCATATATTGGGAATGTCATCATCCCAACTGACGAACTCATATTTTTCAGAGGGGTAGGCTCAACCACCAACCAGATATGATATGGATATTGGGGATATTGGGCACCAAAAATTTATGGATGCCACGATGGGTGAAATCGGCCATCCGATGCTATCCCTGCCATCCACGCGGTTGAAATCCCAGCATCCCAATGCCAAGATGTGTGTCCTAAGGGTACTGTTTCCCATGCAACCCGTGGTGCTGGTATATAAAGACCTACATGACTGATATGACTGGGTGATTTATGTTGGGCAAATCTTGGTGTGCAAATTTTCCAGCACCATGGTTCGCATATGGGTTTCCGTGTCTGAATTTATCATTGAAATTTGGTAGCTTATTTAACATCATATTGATTGATGTTAAGGTATCTTGAGGATGCCGTCAATTGATATCTCTGCTTATTGTAACATATATAGCTATTAAAGCTATGGTCCATTTATGACTTATGGTGTAATTGTCCTATTAAGAGAAGGGGATGTTCCATAGCTACACCAATTGACTTTGAAGAACCTGCGGGTAACAAGCTTTTTCATACACAAATTAAGACTTCAGGTCTATGGTGGTTTCCTAAAATAGGGCTACCCCCAGATCATCCATTTATAGATGGATTTTCCCTTATAAACCATCCATTTTGGGTACCAGCATTTATTTATGGAAACCCCCGTATATGTTATATTCAGTGTTGACCCGTTTTTAAATATATCTTTCAAGATGTTTCAAGTATACCTGCTTGACGTTGAACCTGCTTTCAGCGATACCCGAAACAAAAGGCCAATGCAAACGGCCGATGATCTGAAGAAATCTTTGGCGGTGAGAACAGCATCGTAAAACAAAAAAACACTAGTAACGTGGTTAAAAATAAACCATCCCATTTTTGATGGTTTGTACCACCCATAAAGATGAAGAGTTTGGGAATGGTTTATTATTGTTTTAACCACATTAGTTGATGGTAAAATCATGTAGTTTTTCCATGAAGTATTCAGAAATACTCTGAGTTTTTGGTTGTTTCACGTAGCTAAATTTTCTGATGGTGATTGATGATTTACCGCAATGAAACATCGGTGAGTTTCCATCGCGAAGTATTAAATGACCATTTTTTTTCAGGATCCCATGTCACTGCCTTGCAACGCAACCCCGAAATCATGGTGGCGCAATCTCTCGTGATGCAATTACCTTCTGGTTATGACTAACATAGCTGGCTGGAAAATCCCTTATAAATGGAGGTTTCTAGCTGGGAAAATCAACAATTTTCCATGGCTATGTTAAATAACCAGAGGGTATATCAGATACCCTCTGGTGTCATCAAACGTGGCAATGGTAAAAGATCTATCAATGAAGATTTGAATGATGTTCAATGGAAAAAACATCGACACATGGTGAATGTTCAATTGCCACGTTCCATGACCGGAAGGTAAACAATCCCATTATCAGATTCTTTGATTTTTTATCCCATTAATTCCCATTATTAAATATCCCATTAAGAATGGAGAAACCCCTAGTGCCGCCATTTGCATATGTTTTTTCTCATTTTGCTACTATTGCCAGTGCAACCTAGGAAACTGGATGGCCATTTCTGATCACGCATGAGCAAGGAGGAGCGATGTTTTTTTGAGGATTTGGGTGTGGGGGGCCCACAATCCCAACTCTGAAATAGCCATAATATCATCCTCCATGTCCACGTTTTATAATTTCAAAGGACAAAATAATGGTTGGTGGTTTGGAACAGCCGTGGGCTCTACACCTACCAGCAGGTGCGGCCGTGCCCTGCTGATCGTAGAGCGTTTCGCTCACCGTGTTGTGCCATGGATCGTCATGGATCTTGCTGAAGTTGATGCTGGAGGTAGCTCTCTGATGTGGTCATGGTGGTCGTTGATCCTGTGTATGTGCGCCACTTGGTCCACTGTCCGTGATGGGACTGGTCTGGTGCGTACTGGCCTCTTGGATGGAGCTCCTGAAGTGCTCACTCGGTTGGATGTTGTCCTGGTGCAGCAAGTCTCTATTCCGTTGCTGAAGGTGGCTGATGGTGCTAAGGTGTTGGTTCACTCACTGCATACCTGGGAGGACTTCCTCAAACTGGTCGATGCTTGCTACAGGTTTGATGGTCCTGCACATGGGGCCCATGCCGTTGGTATGCAAACCATGGTAGCTGTTGACTCTAGTGCCCGTATGGTGACCTTACACAAGGCTCCTGGAGGATGTGAGTATGTGATCGGTGATGCTGGCTGTCCCCAGGTGATCGCTGGAGTGTGGTCCACGTGTAATCATGCTGCGGTGAAGAGTGCGGGATTTTCATGTCAGCCGTTTTCCCAGTTGGGTGATTGGAAAGGAGGGGCAGACCCTTGTGCTATGTCCCTTCCTAACAACCTTAGAGTTGCACCGTCTCAACGTGTCCATGGTTTGGTGTTTTCATGCGCTGTCCCTGCATGCAGAGATTCGTTCATCTCGCAACACCGTGATAGGTTTGTTGACTGGTCTGGAGTTGTGAAGGAGAACATCAACCTTGAGCTCTCTGCTATTGGTCAAGTGCAACCGTTGATGCAGAACCAAACACAGATTGACGGGCAGTTTCTGGAGTTCACCCACCTTCAGTCTCAACAAGTTTCGAATCCACAGGCCCTGATGCAGGCCCCGTCTCAACACTTTTACGGCCAAAGTAAGACCCAGTATCAGTGCATCCAGGCTCTGTTTGAGAATCAGCTTTCTCATATACGTGGCTTGTTGCGGAAGCGACTGAGAGATGATGGTGAATGTGGGGGTGGGCCTGAACTGCATGGTTCTCACAGTGGTATGATGATGATGGGGTCTTGTTGTGCCGTGTGGGTTCGTGCTGCTCTTATGCCCTTCTACCAGTTTTTGGGGTTTGTGTCAACTGCCGTTTTCGCCGGGGCCGGCCACTGTGTCAGGTCTTGGGTGGTTACGCTGTTGCTCCTTTTCAATGTTCGTTGGCTTGGAGAGACTTCTTCTCCTGGTCCGGTTAAGTTCAGTTTCACTCCATTCAGACGGCAGTCCCGGGCTTGCCCAGCTGCCCGTCCCCTTGGCCGCGTTGCCACACTGACCTAAGAGTCACCACAGTTAAAGCACTGTCTTCTCACCCCAAGACAGTGCGCCATACAAAGCGGTACAAAGTGGTGGTTTGGAACATGATTTTTATGACTTTCCATTCAGTTGGGAAAGTCATAGTCCCAACTGACGAACTCATATTTTCAGAGGGGTAGGCTCAACCACCAACCAGAATAATATACCCAAAAACTTTATACCACAACTTAATGGGTTTAAGGGTTATATATCCAATACCAAAGTGTGGTTTCGGTGGATTTGTTCGTTGCAAGACCCGCTTGCCCGGACTCTCAATGAGAGGACGATGTTGCTGATGATGATCGACATGCTCAACCCTAAATCTTGAAGCCTAAACCTCCATGGTAAACCCCAAAAACGCGCTATTGTATTGTTCCATGTTTACATGTAAAATCATGTACCCTCTGGTAAACGTTTACATAACTATGGAAAATCACCATTTTATAGCTGGGTAAATCCACATCATAATCACCATTTTCAATAGCTATGTGAAATTACCAGAGGGTAAATCCCATTAGAATCCCATCTATAGATCCCATGAAAAAGTTTTCGGGGCTCGGGCAACCTCGGGGTCAAGCTATGACCATGAGAATCCCCATGATTTTGCTGATGGAGACCTAGGTACATCCGCTTGTTTCAAGAGAACATGCTTTAAGAACATGCTTTAGAACACACTAAGTATGATTGTATAATGTATATATATATATACACAATATATTATATATAGAATATAGTATAATATGATATTACTTAATATAATATAAAATGCTATACTTCTATACTAGACTATACTGGACTAGACTAGTCTAGACTAGACTATACTAGTCTATACTATACTAGACTAGACTATACTAGTCTATACTATACTAGACTACACTATGCTAGACTAGACTAGACTATACTAGACTACACTATGCTAGACTAGACTAGACTATGCTAGACTAGACTATACTAGACTACACTATGCTAGACTAGACTAGACTATGCTAGACTAGACTAGACTATACTAGACTAGACTATACTACTATACTAGACTAGACTATACTAGACTATACTAGACGTTACTAGACTACACTATGCTAGAGTAGACTAGACAATACTAGACTAGACTATACTAGAGTAGACTAGACTATACTAGACTATACTAGACTATACTAGACTACACTATGCTAGACTAGACTATACTAGACTAGACTATACTAGACTATACTAGACTACACTACACTAAGCTAGACTAGACTATACCAGACTATACTAGACTACACTATACTAGACTACACTATGCTAGACTATACTAGACTAGACTGTGCTAGAGTAGACTAGACTATACTAGACTATACTAGGCTACACTATGCTAGACTAGACTAGATTAGACTATACTAGACTAGACTATACTAGACTATACTAGACTACAATATGCTAGACTAGACTTGACTAGACTATACTAGACTACACTATGCTAGACTAGACTATACTAGACTAGACTATACTAGGCTACACTATGCTAGACTAGACTATCCTAGACTATACTAGACTACACTATGCTAGACTAGACTATACTAGACTAGACTTTACTAGACTATACTAGACTACACTATGCTAGACTAGACTAGACTATCCTAGACTATACTAGACTACACTATGCTAGACTAGACTATACTAGACTACACTATACTAGACTACACTATGCTAGACTAGACTAGACTATACTAGATTAGACTATACTAGACGTTACTAGACTACACTATGCTAGACTAGACTAGACTATACTATATAGACTGTAAGCATCAAGGAATCACTTCCCATCACCACCCGGTCCAAGGGGCCTTGGGGTGGCGCTAGGTGACTGGGATGAAAGGTCCTTCGCGCTTTGGAACGGCTACCAGAGATGCTCGATTTTTCTGCGAAACTTTTAGTCTTTGTGAATTATATATAATTATATATATATATGTATGTATATATATATTATGTTTTTGTGTTCCGGATACGTGATATATATAGATAGACAGACAGACAGACAGATAGATAGATAGATAGGTAGATAGGTAGATAGATAGATAGATAGGTATATATATATATACAGATATTGTATTAGGAGAAATATATATATATATACATTTGATATTTATGATAAATACGTATATATATATACATACCTGGACCTTCGATTCTTAGTGAGCTTGTTTGATACACCCTAAATTCAGATCCGAGCGGAAACTTCAAATTCGAGCATTTCATGGACATTTGCAGACTGGACAATCAAACACAAGAAATTCAAATGTTTTAGGCGTTTTTGAGTGCAAATTCGAGCGCAAATATCGACAAACGCACGCAAAACACAAAAAAGTGTCACTCTTAACGGGATCACATGGGTTGAGGTCTTGAGCCGAGTGTATTTTTTGAGTTTGAACTTTTTCTGGAACTTGTAGCCCCAAAATATCGTAGCCTAGATTTAAGTATCAATTGAAGGTCCAGGTGTGCACTGCATATATATATATATATCCCATCACATGTATGCACAAATAGTACATGTATTTACTATATGCTCGTCCCGTACACATCACAATTTAAGACATAGTAACGGTGTTATTTCTCGTTGTTTGTGTTTATTAGTACTGTATTGTGTGATGTCATCCGATGTCCTTTTAGTTTGTGATATGTGTTGCATGATGCGTACAGTAACAAGTTCATATACATGGTGGCATGCATGTATGTGCACGATGGTACATGACATGTTATTTTATTCGATTGAACTTATCATAAATATGCATAAATATATACAATATAATACATTATATATATATATATATATTAAATATATAATTGTATATACATATACATATGATATACATGCATGTATATATCATACATAAATTCATGGACCAATGCATGTTTCATATAGATGGTTCACAATTGCGAATGTCAACAACGGCATGAGTTCGCCCAGAGCCATCCTGAATGTGAAAGAACTCGTTGGGTCTCCCCTGGAGGAAACCATTAAAAATGGGAAATGAAGCAACAAAGATGGTGGATTAACGTGTCCAAGTGGGGGGTATAACTTGCAAAAATTAGGATTTAACATGATTTAACCATCAAAAATGGTAAAGATGGTATATAATGGCATATATAAGTGTGATACATAATCTGGGCAAGTTAAAACAATTTCGCTGCGCGTCATTGGAGCAATAAGGGGTAACGATCCTAAAATAGCCAAGCCTGTCATGTTGGTGAATTTTTATGTTGTTTTTTAGCTCCAGACGCATGGCATGGTGAAATGGGTATGTCTGAAAAGTGCGTATACCACCAAAAAAATGTGGTTTTAACATTGAACATGGTGATTGTTTAATGGATTTTTGGTACTCTGTTTTCAGACAAATCCAAATTGATGAGAAACCACAATGTGCTATGTTTTACCGAGAGATATCTTTCTGCACAAATTATAGCGAGGACAGCCGAGGCAACGAGGCAGGTTGCAGGAATTAGCGAGGTCAGCCCTTAATTGCTCATCAGAATTAGCCGACCTCGACGAGGTAGCCTTGCATTGGTTCTGTTGCATGCTTGGGCTTGGCTAGAAAAACTTTTTTGGGGGTCAGAGGCCGGTCAGCAGGCAAGGAAGGAAAAACAACTTTTCAGGCCCCAAAAAGTTTTATTTTCTATCGCCAGAGGCCGGTCAGCAGGCAAGGAAGGAAAAAACACTTTTCAGGCCCCAAAAAGTTTTATTTTCTATCGCCAGAGGCCGGTCAGCAGGCAAGGAAGGAAAAACAAACTTTTCAGGCCCCAAAAAGTTTTATTTTCTATCGCCAGAGGCCGGTCAGCAGGCAAGGAAGGAAAAACAACTTTTCAGGCCCCAAAAAGTTTTATTTTCTATCGCCAGAGGCCAGTCAGCAGGCAAGGAAGGACAAAAAACTTTTCAGGCCCCAAAAAGTTTTATTTTCTATCGCCAGAGGCCGGTCAGAAGGCAAGGAAGGAAAAAAAACTTTTCAGGCCCCAAAAAGTTTTATTTTCTATCGCCAGAGGCCGGTCAGAAGGCAAGGAAGGAAAAAAAACTTTTCAGGCCCCAAAAAGTTTTATTTTCTATCGCCAGAGGCCGGTCAGCAGGCAAGGAAGGAAAAAAAACTTTTCAGGCCCCAAAAAGTTTTATTTTCTATCGCTAGAGGCCGGTCAGCAGGCAAGGAAGGAAAAAAAACTTTTCAGGCCCCAAAAAGTTTTATTTTCTATCGCCAGAGGCCGGTCAGCAGGCAAGGAAGGAAAAAAAACTTTTCAGGCCCCAAAAAGTTTATTTTCTATCGCCAGAGGCCGGTCAGCAGGCAAGGAAGGAAAAACAAACTTTTCAGGCCCCAAAAAGTTTTATTTTCTATCGCCAGAGGCCGGTCAGCAGGCAAGGAAGGAAAAAAAACTTTTCAGGCCCCAAAAAGTTTTATTTTCTATCGCCAGAGGCCAGTCAGCAGGCAAGGAAGGAAAAAAACTTTTCAGGCCCCAAAAAGTTTTATTTTCTATCGCCAGAGGCCGGTCAGCAGGCAAGGAAGGAAAAAACACTTTTCAGGCCCCAAAAAGTTTTATTTTCTATCGCCAGAGGCCGGTCAGCAGGCAAGGAAGGAAAAAAAACTTTTCAGG